AACCATAAATCCTTTCCTCCAGCCAAATTTGCACCCAGTTAAAAGGGGACATTAAATGCTGAATTAAGTTATTTAAATAAGATTTTGGGGTTGTTTTGGAGGGAGAGTTTGGAAAAAAAGAATTGAAGTGTGGGAAAAGACTCCCAGAGGAAAATCCAGGCTCCAAACCTCCTACAGAGCAAAGAGCAGCCAGTGAGGATTCCTGTCAGCACTGAGGGAAGGAAAACCAGGACCAGGAGATTTATCAAGGGCCATTAAAAGCCTTGACAGCAAATTAGTTTGGAGTTAATCACTGACTGAAGCAGATCCGACGGATTTGTGCTTCAGTAAAGTTTGTTTGGTGTCTCTGCTTGGTGTCTCTTTAAATGGCCAAGGAGGAACTGGAATCACCAAGGAGAACCTGGATACGTCAAGGAAGACATAGATCCATCCCAAAACTCTGGATTGGTCTGGGAACTGCCAGCTGAGATTGGCTTTGAACCATAAATCCTTTCCTCCAGCCAAATTTGCACCCAGTTAAAAGGGGACATTAAATGCTGAATTAAGTTATTTAAATAAGATTTTGGGGTTGTTTTGGAGGGACAGTTTGGAAAAAAGAATTGAAGTGTGGGAAAAGACTCCCAGAGGAAAATCCAGGCTCCAAACCTCCTACAGAGCAAAGAGCAGCCAGTGAGGATTCCTGTCAGCACTGAGGGAAGGAAAACCAGGACCAGGAGATTTATCAAGGGCCATTAAAAGCCTTGACAGCAAATTAGTTTGGAGTTAATCACTGACTGAAGCAGATCCAACGGATTTGTGCTTCAGTAAAGTTTGTTTGGTGTCTCTGCTTGGTGTCTCTTTAAATGGCCAAGGAGGAACTGGAATCATCAAGGAGAACCTGGATACATCAAGGAGGACATGGAATCACCAAGGAGAACCTGGAAACACCAAGGAAGAATTGGAAACACCGAGGAGGACATGAAAATACCAAGGAGGACCTGGAATCACCAAGGAGAACCTGGAACCACCCAGGAGGACATGGAATCACCAAGGAGGACTTGGAAACATCAAGGAGGACATGGAATCTCCAAGGAGGACCTGGAAACATCAAGGAGGACATGGAATCTCCAAGGAGGACCTGGAAACTTCAAGAAGGACATGGAATCACCAAGGAGGAATGTGAGAAAAAGAACCCAATCTATAAATGAGGTTTCTTAAATTTTGAAACATCAAGAACCTGAAATTAAAAACCCTTTTGGCCACTGAGTTTGTTGAGACAACCAAGAGGAATAAAAACTTTGGAGATCTTCCCTCTCTGTGGATTTTCATGGTTTAAAAAGCGGAAAATTCTTCCCAGCGCTGTGGATGTTCCCTGACCTCCAGCTGATTGCCCATAAACAGATAAACAAAGCCAATCCCTGGCTAAAAAATTCAATTTTGGGAGATCTTTGTGAACTTATTTGGCTCCAGAACAAGACAAGGAGCAGAGCTGAGGAATGATGAAGGGTAGGACAAGACATGATCTCATCTGAACCTGGACCAAGGGGAATGGGGGAGGCAGAAAAACAATTGTCTGCCCTTATCCAGGAGGAGCAGGAATGGCGAAACTGCTGCCAAAAGTCATCCCAAAGAAATAAAAGGAAGATTAAACAGCTGTCAAATCCCAGAGAAGAGCGGGAACATGGAGCAAGGAATCCCGAGGAGAACTCTGCTGCTGTGGATGGGAATAGAAGAGGAACAATAGAGGAACCTGCCGGGGGTGAGATTCCCTGTCCAAGCCCAACATGTGGCTCTGGAGAAGAGGATGATGATCCAAAAGATTCCAGGGAGATTCCATGTGAGCCAGTCAGCCGGGATGCTGCAATGCACAGCTTGGCTTGGGGAAGTGAGAGGCTCCATGGAAATACTCCACGGAGCATTGCCAGATGTTTTCTAGGATGAGAGGAAAACGGGCACAGTTCTGACACAAAGGAGGAGGGAAAACAAGGGAAAAACAGGGAACAGCTCTTTTGGATCTTTTCCTCCTCCTTGGAGTGAACTTGGGAAAGTTTCTTCCACTGTTTTCCAAGGTGGACAGGTCTTGGAGCAACCTGGGATAGTGGAAGGTGTCCCTGCCCATGGAATGAGATGGGCTTTAAGGTCCTTTCCAGCCCAACTCATTCTGGGATGATTCCATGACAACGATTCCATGACAACGATTCCATGACAACGATTCCGTGCCACGTTTGCTGCACCCCAGCTCCAATCTGCTCTCTCCACTCCACGATCCCAAGTTGGATCTGAACCAGGACGGGCACAAGCCCTGTTATTCCTGCAGGATTTGTGGAGGGCAGTGGGTGAATCCTGAACTAAGGAGTCCACCCCTCCAAGGTTTCTGTTTCCCATGGCCTTTGGGGCTGTGTTTCCACAGGAAAACCCCACAGAGGGGAACTGTCATCCCAGGGGGACTCAGACCTTTGGATGGGGACAACTCCTTGGGAAATGTCCTCAGCTCCTGGTGATGGGGGAAGGGAAGAGAAGCCTGCTCTGGATCCAAAGGCTCTGGCTAAGCTCCAACAGGATCATTCCATTTGTCCTTCCAGGGCAAATCCCAATCGGAAACTGGGGCTTCTTCTCTCTTTCCAGACATCCCAGCTCTGATTCTTCCTCACTAAAATCCAGGAGGGATGACCCTGGATCTCCAGATAATCCTGATCCATACACTCCAACAAGAGTTTGGGATCAGCCCAGGAATGATGGGAACACACTGTGACAAACAGGTCCTGCTGGGCCTTAGTGGCAGTTTTCCCTCTGTTTTGGTGTCAGCATTATTCCAATTTTTCATGGATGTTGCTCATGCACACAAACATCCAGGAAAGAAAAATCTATTTATGATTTGCAATTCAAAAGATTTAAAAAAATATTTCTTTCCCCTGCACAACCCTAGTGCCTGTAATTTTCATCTACATTTAAAAACAGGTTTGATTTATTTTAATCCTAAATAATCCAGTGTTGAATTCATTTTGGTGAGAGCCTGCATTTTAGGAGGGGGGTTATGTTTGTTTATAAATAAATTTATGGCTTTTGCTGATTCCTTGAATTTCTGAGGGATTGTCAAATGTTCTCAATCTTGAGTAACAAACACAAGCAAAGAGTGAGTCACTGGTTGGGGTTTTTTGGTATTTTTGCTTTGTTCCAGCAGTGAAACAATAATTTAGAAATGTTTTTGAGCCAGAAAATCAGGAGGGGTAGAAGAAGAGAGCAGGAAAATGGATTAATTTTTGAAAAGTTGATATTTTGATAACTCCTATTTGGTGGGAACGCGTTTTGATGAGGTTTGACTTCTTTTGATGAAGTGAAACAAGAAAAGAACATCACAAATAAATATTGGCTGTCAAAGATTTCTGTTCAGGACAAAAAGGAACAGCCTCAGGCTGTGCCAGGGCAGGCTCAGGGTGGACACCAGCAGGAATTTCCCCATGGAAAGGGTGGTCAGCCTCAGAAGGAGCTGCCCAGGGAGGTTTGGAGCCCCCATCCCTGGAAGTGTCCAAGGAATTCCTGGATGTGGCACTCAGAGCTGTGGTGGGGATTGGGCACAGCTCCGACTCGATGACCTTGGAGGGCTTTTCCAGCCTCAGGGATTCTGGGATTCTGCAATAGATGGAGAGGAGCTCCAGCTCCTGTCAGAACCTCACAGCCACCACATCCCCCTCCAGGTCTGAATCCAAACCTTGGAGATGTCAGAGGGAGGAGAATTTCCTCTGGATTCCACCAGGCCTTGGTCAGGCCCTGATCTGAGAGGCTGGTAAAGATGTGGGACACAAAGTCAGGATCCCACCTGCTCTTCCTGACTTCCTTCAGAGTCTGGGGAAATTGATCCTTAATTAGCCCTCAGAATAACAGCTGGTGGAGTCTTTTCTCTCATGAGGGTTTGGATTAATTGTCCAGAGAAACCGTGGATACTCCATCCCTGGAAATGTTGGGAAGGCTTGGAAAGGGCTTGGAGCAACCTGGGATAGTGGGAGGTGTCCCTGCCATGGCAGGGGGTGGAACAAGGTGACCTTTAAGGTCCCTTCCAACCCAAACCATTCCGGAATTCCGCGTCCCTGTGGAACAGGACATTCAGAGGGCAGAGCGAGGAACAATCCCGAGTTTTAAGAAAGGATTGAAGTCGCTTTCCAGGAGCACCCACAAAAAGGGAGGGCTGAGTTATCCACCCTGGGAGCTGACTTTAGCCACAATCACCCCTCTGGGACGTGCACCTTGGTGGTTCCCTCTCCACCTGCCCCTCTGGAAGGGCAGGAATGCCGCACATTCCGATAACCACATTCATCCCTAAAATTGCACCGATTGCTGCCTTGCTCCCAGGACTCAGGGGAAGGAGAGGACAATCCCTGCCTGCCTCCGTGAGCTGTTAACCCTCCCCGCCCCAGAGGTGTGAGAACCTTTTTGCCACGGAGTGAGAATTCCCAAGGGAAGAAGATCATGGGGCTGGTGGTACCCAACACGACCTTTGACCGACGGGTGGCGGGGCCTTTCCCGGCCCTGTGTGTGTCACCAGGCAGATCCACAGGCAGAGAACAAACCAAACCCAAGCCGCTGCCCCCCAGGGTGGCTTGTCCCCTCCCAGGAAGATGGCACTGCACCCTCCCTGCACGCCTCCTGCTTTCCTGGGGGACGCTCCCGTCCTCCTTGGCCACCCACGCTCTCTGAGGGATCCAAGGACCACGCAGGGCTCTGCAGCCCTCCCGGGCGAGCTCCCAGGATCTCCGGTGTCCAGCAGGTCTGGAGAGCTCTGTTATCACCAGGAGAACGTGGATCACAGAATTCATGGATGGCATCACCCACTGGCCACGCTGGTGGCTCACTTTTTTTTTTTTCCCCCCCCAAATAACTTAATCTCTCATTCCACAGAACAGAGGAGCTGCATGGAAACCCTTGGAATCCGCTGCATGGCCTGATGGTCTTTTCCCACTAAATGCTCTCCAGGAACCTTTTTTCATCCTTTGGCTGATTTTTTTTTTTCTTTCCTCCTCCTGTCCTTACATCACTGTCTCTCTCTCCTCTTCCACAAGGACCATGGGTCTGTCTCCATCGTAAAGCCCGGAGCCATTCAGGTATTCCTCATCTTTGTTGTACTGCTCCGGGCCGGAGGAAGGCATGGAATTCTCTGAAATGGAGCCATTTTTCACATAACCTGGCAAATTCCGGTGGCCGTTGAGGGTCCCTGGAATAAGTCTCGTGTTGAGGTGGAGGGCAAGTGCCCCTCTGGTGGCTACATTTGTGATGCTGGTGTGGGAAACCATTGGTCCATAGCTGTAGGTTGTGCTCCCACTCCGGGCTTTCCTTTTAAAGTCAAGTGCTAAAGTCCACCTGCTCCATGACTTCTTTATTTCTGCTTGGACCTGAGGGGGGAAAAAAAGGAAGGGAAAAAAAAAACCCCATGAGTGGGAGAAGAAAAATGCCAAGAAAATGTGGTGTTCAGAGATGGAATGGGTGGGAAACTCTGTGGGGACTTGGAATTTCATGGTCTTTATGGGTCCCTTCCAACTCAGGAGATTCTGTGAGTCCATGAAATCGGAATAAATTCACATTAAATAAATAATAAATTCACATTAAATCTGCCCTTTCCAAATGAAATACTGGACACTGGGAATCTTGAATGGCTGAAAACATCTGGCCGGAAAGGTGAGATAGCTCTGCCCAAGGATTGAGGGATGGAGGGCAGCACATCCAGGAGGGAATTGTCTCAATGTCTCATAAAAATCAAGTGTCAGTGGGAAAACCACCTTGAGAGGCACCTGAATCCTGAGAAAATTCCCTAGAATGGGAATTTTAGACTGGGTCTAAAGTAGGTTGCTAAATTTAGGGTGAGATCAATTCCCCTTAGATTTTATTCTCATTTTATCTGCAGAAAATAAACAGTGATTTTTAAAGGTTTATTTCCCCTTAAAATCCATAAATTTAGGTTATAAATTCCCCTTAAAATACATAAATTTAGGTCACAAATTCCCTTTAAAATCCATAAATTTCATTTTATGCCAGTCCATGGAAGTTTCTCCCTGGGGTGCAGCCACTGACCATCCACTTTCTTAATTAGCAGTAATACAGGGAATTAATGGAAATGCAGAAAATAAAGTATATTATTCTGGAAATAGATAAAAAAGTCAAAAGAGCCTGGGAAAATCCAGATTTTTTTTTTTTTTGTTAATCAGTGACTCTATCAATCCATTTTTCTTGCTAATTTGAAATAAAGCAGCACTAAGCAGCACTTGTGCTAGGAAATTAAAAATTCCACATTTTTTCTCCATTAGCTGCCTCCAGTAGCTCATTTACCGGTGCCATGCTGACCTGGGGGTTTCCCACCAGAAAAAAAAATGAGGATTTTAATTTTTTATGGGAACTGAGAGACCTTGGACTGCAAGATAAGTTTGTTTATTATAGAAAAATGAGGATGTGCTGATGTGCATCCACCTGGGTGTGGAATTAACCCAAGAAGGGAGGGAATTAAGACGTTCATGACTCACCTCTCCATTGCAAAAACAGTATATGATGGCAACAAAAAATCCCTGGAAGGAGGAAGAAACAACAAATTAATGGGAATTTAGGGAAATTTGGGTCTCTTTTCTGCCCAGCACCCCCAGACTTCTCTGAGACTAGAGACATTCAAACCTTCTGTGGAAAATGAGTGCGAGAAATGTGGGATTGTTCAGTGGGGCCGGAGAGGGAAACAGAGAAAATTCCCTGTGGATGGAGCTCCTGGTGGACAAGGATCCAGCAGAGTGTCCTGGGGGACAAGAGGCCAACGGGATCCTGGGGAGAACTGGGAAGAATTGGGAAGAACATTTTTTGCTGGACAAATTTCCCATTTTCTTGTTGCATTTTGCAAGTAGAAAACAGATCTGAGGCTCAAATATTTTCAAATCCCCTCATGAATTAATTCTAGTGTACTGTAAACCCAGCCCTGCTTCCAAAGGCAGCCTTGCACCCACGTTCCCCTCCTCTCCCCGCTGAAATTCCCATGTTTTCCCAGAGTTCCAATACCTGGAAAGAGTTGAACAGCATTTCATAGTGCATTTGAACTTGCCAAAGAATCCCTGACACGTCTGTGTATGGCATAGCCATGAAAACAATATAGTGAACGCCAAACAGAGGCATAAGGACGAGGGTAGATTTCAGCAGCTTCCTGCAGGAAAAAAAAAAAAAAAAAAGGAAGGAATGGGAAAAAAAGGGAAAAAAAAGGAAAAAAAAAAAAAGGGGAAAAAAGGAAAAAAAAGGAATTAGTGCATGGATAAACCTCCCCGGCATCACCAGCCCAGCCAGGTTTGTCACTGGGCACGAGCTGTTCGTGGTTTTCTCCTTGTTCCCTTGGATATGGGATGTTTGCACAGGTGCTGTGGAATTCCACCTGGAATTCCAAGCTGTTGGTTCATGCTCCAGCATGTGCCAGTCCAACCCTCGACATGGCCTCGTGTGATGCTGGAGGTGACAACGCTGAGGTGGCTTTTCCAGCCTCAGACCAACTCCAGGTTTGGGTCAGGATCTTGGGGGGGAAGGTGGAAAGGAACGAAAGGAATTTGTGCTGCAATTCCAGCCCTTAGGCTCCAACTAAAATCCACCAAATCCAATCCCCTTATCCCTAAAGGATGGTTCTCCATCTTCCCGTGGTCCTACATGGCCCACAGTGGCTGCCACTGCTTGGGCAGGAGGGTGGAGAATCGACTTCCAGAGGTCTTTTCCAGCCTCAACCACTCCATTGAGGCAAGACAGGAAAATCCACCTGGATTGCTCCTGTGCAACGAGCAGATCTGGAGCAGAGGGAGTGGGTTAGGGGTGGGATTACTCCAGATCTCCAGGGGAAGAGGACAGAGCAGAGGTGAACACTCTGAGGAGGTGCTTTGGGCTTCAGCATCACTTGGAAAAGCTCATTTTTCCAGGGAGCAGCTCCACCTCAGCACAGGATCAGTGCTGGGGACTCCACGGAGGCACCACAACCCGGAGTATTTGGCTGGGCTGGCTCCGGAGGGAATCAGCTTTGCCTGGAAGTGACATTAATTGAGGGATTAGACCCTGTGCCAAGAGTTCCAGCAAGTGCCCGAGTGCAGCAGGGATCGGGAAGGGCGGGAATCGCTCCCAGCAAGGCCCGGCACCGCCTCTGTCCAGCGCCTGCAAACCACCGAGGGAATTTAACACTTTAAAAGGAGCAGGCCGCATCCAAACCATAATTAATGGCAAAGCTTCAGCCAGGGAGAAGTAAATAAATGGATAAATCAGAGCCCTGACAGGGCAGCGAGGAAAACTGGGAGGTGTTTTCCTGCCAAATCTCCCTCCTGCCTCCAATGTGTGTTTGGAGAGAGAGGTGGGAGCGATGAGCTCATGGTTTACACCCCAAACCATTCCGCTCTCCCCCCTTCCCAAGTGTCCTGTTGGGCAGTCCAGGAGATCCCGAGAAGCCTTGGGAGCTCTCAAGCAGCTGTGGTGTCCCAGCAATCCGATTTTTCCATCCGATTTTTGACCATGCTACAAATAACCTGAATTATCAAGGGAGACCAGCTGGCAGAACAAAGGAAAACAAAACAAAAAATGAAACTAAATTGGAATATTTTTTTCAGTTCAGCCAAGGCACTGAAACACCCGCTCAAGGGCAGGTTTAACCAATAGGCCAAGCTTAACAAAGCACAGGAGGGAAATAAAAATAAGCAAATACACTGATACAAGTTTTATGGCCTTCAACAGCACAAACAATGTTTTATTTTTGTACTTTGGGTTCAAAAGCTGGCTGAAGAGCTGGAATTCCTCCCTAACCTCCAGCAGGCTGGATTTGAAAGGTTTAGGAGAGTTTTAAATTGCTCTGGTTCATTCTGCATTACCACACTTGGAAGACAACAAACTTTTCAAGTTATTTTGGGTGGCATCAGTGTCACCCTGGGCTTTCTCCACAGCCAAGGGGGTGGACCAAGGACTTTGTCCCATCCCAGAAAGGGGACAGGGCAGGTGACACTCACCTGTACTGTTGTCTCGAGTCACACCTCCCTGCATTCGTCTCTCGGAGCTTGGTTGCGAGGACTCTGATAATATTGATAAAGAGAATAAAATTTACCTGCAGGGAAAAGAAAACAAACAACAAAGAAATGAGAGCTGTTAAAAAAAAAATCGATGAAAATGGTGGAGTTGTTCAGTTGGTGTTTCCCCCAGGTGAGGCAGAGGATGGGACTGGGGGGAAGCTCCTCCTGTGGAAGGGATGAGCGTTCCAGGAATGATCCTGGGGTTTTTAACCTTCAGGGAGAATATGGAATGGCTCACGAGGTGTGGACATCTCACATGGAAACATCTGAGCCAGCCAGCCCAGCAGGCACCTGGAGGAGGCCAAAAAGAGGTTTTATTTGTCTTTACAGCCCAGCCAGGATTAAGATCCCCTTGGGATACCAGAAGCACTCGTAGGATATCTTCCCACATTTCCATGTGCAAAAGGAAAGAGGAACAAGCCCAAGGCACCATGGTGAAGACACAGAGTAGACCTAATGAGATGACAGCTCAAGAATGCAGAAGGACAATGAAACTGTTGGATTTCTCCCATATTCCCACTTCCTCTGGGAAGTGTTTAGGATGGAGCAGGCGAGGACAGTCAGGGAATATCATCTACTGCCCTTCAGGGAGACACATCTGTGAACCCAACTCGTGGCCAGCTGCTCAAGATAATTCCAGTGGTGCCTTGGAACAGGCTGCCCCAGGAAGAAGTGGAATCCCCATCCTGGGAAAGTGGTGGAATTCTCATCCTGGGAAGTGGTGGAATCCCGTGTGGATGTGGCACTTGGGGACAAGGTGACCATGGTGGTGCTGGGGGAATGGTTGGACTTGACCTGAGAGAGGATTTCCAACCTTCGTGATTCCACGATTCCAGTCTTGTCCTACAAGAACGCGCTGAGGAAAATTTAATGGCAACACCTCATGGAGAGGAAAGATGGGTTGGCACTGGGGAGATTCCCATCTTCGTAGAGCTCTTCAGAGCTTGGTTTCCCTGGATTCCACCAGCTGCTGGCCCAGCCAAACCCTTCCCTGGGATTATGGAGAGGGTCCAGGTAGGAACATCCTGTAACCTCAGGGATCAGATCCACGTTGTTGGATAATGCCTACAGATTCCTCTGGAACCTTCAGCATCTTGAGACACCAAATTACCACACCACACACCAGCTTGGAGTTTTTGGGAGGGACCATTGTGAACCTCAAGCTGGGTGACCCAGGAGACCTCCTTGGATTCATTTTGGCTGGAGCCAGAGCAGATCCGTGTTCTGGCATTTCCATGACAGAGATTTCTCCACCACAACCATTGAAGAGTTGTTCTCACAGTCAATTATCCTCCCGGGAAAACCAGGAATTCCCTGAGCTGCTGAGCCAGCAGAGCCTGGTTTGCCGTGGCTTTGTCACCTGTGGTTGGATTCCTCCTCCTCTGAGGAGGTGCAAGCTCATTTTGAACTGTCCTCCATGAAAAAAACAGGGAAGGTCGTGCCACACCCTTTCCATCACTGGGGCATGAGTGAAAATTCTCTCCCATATCCCTTTCCTTGTTTTCATGAGGTTTGTGGGAATTTTACATCTCTGAACCCCCATTCTCTGAGCTCCATTTGGCTGAAATTTCCTGACTGACACAGGAATTAAAAAGGAGGAATGGACAGACCGACAGGCAGGGAAGGACAGAGTCTGGGGGCATTTAATTCCTTGGAAACCATCTGAAAGGGAAAAAGCAAGCAGGATTTATGTCTCTACAGGAGCTTTTCCAGCTTTAAAGGCTCCAAAGTGGGATCTTGTTCTGCATTTGTCGGCAAAATTAAAGATGCCCAACCCTATCACACCCAGAAGGGAAACTCTGATTTCCCCAAATGTGCTAAATTTGAAAAGAAATCCAGACAAAGGAATCACATACAAATTAGCAGAAAGTGGAGAGATTTTAAATCCCTCAGCCTCCAAAATCTCATCCAGAAAATGCAGGGCTTAGTCCAGCAACGTGGGAACGGCAGAAGCAGCCAAGTGAACAATACGAACCCACAGAAATTAAACAGACACAACCCACAGAATATTTTTGCATAATAAACAGCTGGATTTGCAAATTGCCAGGGCACAGGCACAACCTCCTGGAGAAACCTTATTTTTCCAAGGATGAGCCTCAATTGGGCTCTTTCTCTTCTGCTAATTGGCCTTCAAATGAAATGCGATGGGGTTGCTGGAATTAATTTAATTGAACCATCTGAACTTTCTTCTCCAGCCTCTGCTGTTCCATTTCCAAAGATGTGGTCTCGGTGATGCGTTTCTTCCAAGGAATTGCTGGAGCCAGGTGGAGAATTTCCACCAAAGGATGAAATCCAGCCCCCCCTGCAAACCCCAAAGATCTCACCTAATGGCACAGATGAGCACATCCACCTGGGAAAATTTCCTGCTCTTTATGTGTCTGCTGCTCTTCTCACCCACACTGGGCATCTTCCAAGGCCTCCTGATTTGGGAGGCAGGAGGAACAGCCTGATTCCAAACCCTCTGGACTGTGGAGAGATTCCTACCAGCTCCACAAATAGATGAGTGGAAAGGGAGATGGGATTTGGGGGAGTGCATGAGCTCTTTGACATGGATTCCACCAGGAGACTGAGCAATGGAGAACCCCAAAAAAAGGGGAGGGGAGGAAGAGGGTAATTAATGAGCCCTTTAATTAGCACATAATTGAATTCACCTGGTGCAGATAATTAAATCTTATAACACCCTCTCCAACTTTGGAGAGCTCCTCCTGTGTTGGTTTAATGCTGGGATTTGGGGGAGTGCATGAGCTCTTTGACATGGATTTCACCAGGAGACTGAGCAATGGAGAACCCCAAATAAAGGGGGGGGGGAAGAGGGTAATTAATGAGCTCTTTAATTAGAACATAATTGAATTCACCTGCTGCAGATAATTAAATCTTATAACGCCCTCTCCAGCTTTGGAGAGCTCCTCCTGTGTTGGGTTAATGCCCTGGAGCTGAAATCCCCTTTGGAAAGCAGTGTCTTCCCATGCAGAGCCATTTGGGAATGCCCAGGGATCCTCAGATGGAGGATCCTGGAAAAACAGAAGAGCTTGCGTGGTCAGGCCTGTGAGTTTTGGGAGAAAGGCCAGGTTGGATGGGGCTTGGATATCCCAACCTGGGATAGTGGAAGGAGTCCCTGCCCATGGCAGGGGTGGAATGGGATGAGCTTTAAGGTCTCTTCCAACCCAAACCATGCTGGGATTGCAAAATCCATGGAGGAGTTACAGTTCTACCACCCTACCACCACCAAATTTTCTAGCTGTGCTGCAGCTGCTGTGTCCCAAACTCATTCCTGTTCATTCAGGATTTTAAGGATCCCTGTCTTGTCCCTGCCCAGCTGTGACACAATCCACTTATCTCCAGGGATAACAACTGCAGGTATTCCCATTTATTGGATCCTGCAAAACAAAAGGAAAAATTATCCTTCCCTTCCATCCACCGCTCTCCATCGAAAGTTAATGATGTCGCAATAGAATTCCATCTTTATCTGCTTCTTTTTCCTTTTGGATTCACCCATAAATCCCACAAAACTCTGCACATAAAAGGGAGAGAAGGAAACCCAGTGGGACTTACTCTGTGTCGGCCAGAGTGGCTCTGACGCTGGCCCACACTGTGACAAACACAGCAGGGAGTCCTGCAAAAGAACACAGGTGACACGAGGTCAGTGGGGACCGAGGGCTCCGGCACCAAAATTCCAGGTGGAGTGGGTTAGGGGAAGGGGGAAGGAGCAGCTTTTAATTATTCAGGCATAAGTGAGCCTGGGAAAGGCTGAGCTTTCACATCTGAGAGCTGAACTGGTTCAGTTTGGGGTGCTCACAACAAAGACATTGAGAGGCTGGAGCGTGTCCAGGAAGGAAAAGGAGTTGGGAAAGATCTGGAAAACTCCTGAGGGAGCTGGGAAGAGGCTGAGCCTGGAGAAAAGGAGGCTCAGGGGGGACCTTGTGGCTCTGCACAGCTCCTGACAGGAGGGGACAGCCGGGGGGGTCGGGCTGTGCTCCCAGGGAACAGGGACAGGAGGAGAGGGAACGGCCTCAGGCTGGGCCAGGGGAGGTTTGGGTTGGAAATTGGGAAAATTCCTTCCCCAGAAGGGGCTGTTACACATTGGGACTGCCCAGGGCAGGGGGGGTCCCCATGCCTGGAGGGATTTAGATCCCTGTGGATGTGGCACTTGGGGACATGGTCAGGGGTGGCCTTGGCAGTGCTGGGAATGGTTGGACTCGATGATCTCTGAGGTCTGGGAGTGCTGGAACCTGAGACACTGAAACCGGATTTGGCCAACTCATCCCATGGGAAGCAGAGAACTCTGCTCTTGAGCCAGGCTGGGAGAGCTGGGAATGTTCCCCTGGAGAGGAGAAGGCTCCAGGGAGAGCTCAGAGCCCTGCCAGGGCCTGAAGGGGCTCCAGGAGAGCTGGAGAGGGACTGGGGACAAGGGATGGGAGACTGGGAAGGAATTCCTGGCTGGGAGGGTGGGGAGGAGCTGGGATGGAATTCCCAGAGCAGCTGTGGCTGCCCCTGGATCCCTGGCAGTGCCCAAGTCCAGGCTGGATGTGGCTTGGGATAGTGGAAATTGTCCCTGCCCATGGTAGAAGGTGGAATGGGATTATCCTCAAGACCCCATCCAACCCAAACTATTCCATGATTCCATGATTCCAATGGTTTTACGCAGCACACCTTCTCCAAGATATTTCCTCCCTTCCTTCACATCAATGAGAGGGTAAAGCAAGAGTCAGGCTCTGACAGTTTTTCACAGAAAATCCCTGGATGGATTGGAAGCTCTGTTAAATACAAGAGAGCTGCTGCACGAAGCAGAGAGATGCTAAAATTCCGGATTGTGCTTCCAAAATATCCAGCCAAAGCTTCATTCCCAAAGGAACCATCCTGATTTCAGCACAGCTACCCCAGGCCATCATCTTTTCTCTATGAAACGAGGAAAAAAAATTCCCCAATATCCAAATGCAACCTTGTATTTATTTTTTTTTTAGGGTCCAGTTATTTGTACAACTGAGTCCCCTACTGGCTTCCCTTAAAAAGCAGGATCCAATCCACAGTAGCTTCCACAAATTTGGGAAGAATGACCCCTTTCAGGTGGAAAAAAAAATTATTAAAAAATAAATAAAGGCGACATTTATCAGCGGGGACTGTGAAGAGGCTGTTCCCAGTCTAAGCTCACTGGGGCTCGGGGATAAGCCCAGGCTTAACTTTCAGCATGCACTTAAGTCTCATTAGGGTGCTTAAAGGTTTTCCTGACCACGGGGTGTGGAGCAGGGACGGCTGTGTCCCAAACCCAGGGACAACGGGGCCCTTATCCAGGCTGGGAGCTGGGAATGCCGAGGTAATATAAGAAAGCATAAATAATTAAACACAGAGCCTCACTCAGGCCCAGCGCTCCTACAAAGCCACATTTATAAGGAATTCATCCCGCTCCACAATTCCCTGTGCTGCTGGCACTGGGAAGAAAGTCCTTGACCTGTCGCACTCAGAACTTGGAGCGAGGGAAGTGAGGGCTCGGGGAAGGTGACAGGCACCAGCTCTTTCCTCCTCCCTGTCATCCACCCATTCCAGGCTCTGGAAAATCATCCAAGGTTTAAATGGATTGAATTTTTTGGTGCTCTTTCAGTTTATATCCACTGAGGAGCTGCCATGTTGAAAGGCTGTCCATGGGATATTGGATATTCCCACAACAGTGAAGCTCTAAGTCTGAGGGATGGATTTTTTTGGGAGATTTGGATATACTTGACAGGAATCTGTTCCTCTCTTGCCTGTCCTGAGCTTCAGAAGAGACGCAATTCCCATTCCTACTAATCCTGTGTCGACTTCGTGCTGCCAACCAACCATAAAATACCCAGGAGAAAAGAGTTATCCCTAAAAATCCCAACATGGATCCATGGATACATGGGTGGATGGATGCATGGATGGATGGATGGATGCTCTTCCTGACTCCAGCCCAGCCCCCACCGTGCCGTGAGCGACTTGTACAGAATCCACATTGTATGCGCTGTGCATTTCCAGCCACACACACAGTGTGTACAATGCAGGTGCTATAAAGTCAGGAATCTCCCCAGCAGCTAGAAAATGGGAAAGATCTGCTGGCCATCCCTCCATCTCGAGGGCTTTTCCTGTGTCCATGTCTCCCAGCAGCTGGAAAAATGGGTTTCATGCATGTGGAGTGAGGGAGTGACTGCTGGAATGGAGTTTAGGAATAAAGAACTTGTGTAGGTCTAGGATTCTGGTCTCAATTCCCTGGGTTTTGAAAGCTTCTCTGAGGAACAATGCCTGTGTTTTATGAGTCCCTCTGTGTCCCTTTTCCCTTATGTTTAATGGGAATAACAATAATACTTTTAAGGCCTCTGGTCCTGCTTGGTACACATTTTTCAGGGCAGGATTATTCCTGCTTGGACAAACACGCAGGGCTCATCATAATGGATTTTTGGGGCACCTCCCACCATCCTTTTTATCTTTTCCAGGTGTCCCTGCAATCCCCAGTTTGCTGAAATCCAGGGCAGCCCAGGCGTGTGTGTGGGAATTAACGCGGTGTGAAGGAGAAACGCCAATGGAATCAGCTTGGGTTTCCTGGCTATTGGTCATAGTTCCTAAACTTCCTTCAAAAAAACAGCTGCAGGGAGCTGGGAGTCTCCCAAGGGATTTATTGTTGCCCATAATGTCATTATTTATTTATTGTGGGTGGGTGCTGGCAAGGAACGAATTCCTTTCCATCAGCAGGGTCTCCCTTGGAAGAAGGGAGTTGAGGGCTTTGATGGAGCTTGTGCCAGTGAGGATGTGGATTGAAAATACCGGACAAAAATCCGTGGAGATGACATCAAAGTATTGCTCTTTGTCCCACTTTTCCAAGAAATAAGATGTTTCAGGGTGATTTTCGCTCCCTGTTTCCACCTTGGAGATTTCCAGGCAGGACAAATTCAATGCTGATTATTGCCAGAATATTCCAGTTTTGGGGGCAAGTCTGTCTTTTCTGTGGAATAACTATTTATCCCTGATTCCCTGTCACTCATTGCTGCGGTGTGGGCAGGATCCAGTGCCCGCTGCAAGGAACTGGAATTTTTCCACTGTCTCCAGTGGCTCCTGGACTGGTTTGCCCTTTCCAGTGCCCAAAAATTATCCAAACAATCCGCCTGAGCGGGTGCCTGTGCGGACATTATCATCCCAATCCAAACAAAGCAATCCCCACTGCCACCGGAGGGATCGTGTGTTCTCATTCCAGAGGAATTTCCACGGGGCAGCCTCAGGCTCCTGGAAGCCCAGGGATGCTGGCTGTTGTGACAGGTGTGACTCCAGCCCTGTGGTCGCTCCGATAAAATGATTATTCCCTGGCAGAACTTGGGAGAGCTAACGAGAGCAATCCCTGCCTATCCCAACTTTTTCCTTTGGTTTTGCTTGTTAAACACATGGCATTATTTTCCAGCTGCTTCCCTCTCCTCCCAAATTCCCGCAGGGGAATTGCTTCTTTAAGTCTGCTCTTTGCAGTTTAGTGTTGTTTTTTGAGAGGGAGTTTTTACAGAGCCTGAAGGTTTGGAGGAAGATGAGTTTGTTTCTCTTTTCTAATTTAATTTGGTTGGGGTTTTGTTCATTTGCTTTAGCAAAGAGGTGCCATCCAAAGCCCTCTCTGGCCCTCAGCAGCTGAGATAAGAAATGCCAAATCCCCAAAATAGAATCCCAGAACGATCTGGGTGATAAGGGACCTTAAATCCCATCTCATTCCACCCCCTGCCGAGGGCAGGGACAACTTCCACTGTCCCAGGTTGCTCCAAGTCCCACCAAATATCTCTTAATTTGTTAATTTTCCCAAAATTTTTCCAGCCATCCTGAAAGATGGATTCCCACTTTGGAATATTTCTATATTTACATTTCCCATGGTTATTATCTGTCAGCACCAGCAGTTTCTGACATATGGAGCAGCTGAACAGGAGTTTTGGGAGCAGCTCCTTCTCTGTATCCCATTTGGGAAGGAGAAAGGCTGGAGAGAGCCCTGCCCTGGAGTATTGAATCCCAAAAATCTGCAATCCTTCAGTTCTGGGTTCCCTGCCTTGCTCTGAGCTCCACTGTTAAGGACAGCCACCAACTTTTTTCCATAAAAATCTCATTCTGGAACGGGGGTGGGGGTGGTGCACGCCTGAACCTTGTCCTAAAAATGCACTCAGGATGTGGCCAGGTGGATTTGGGATATGGAATTTGGGAAGTGGGGCTGTGCCAGGTAACCACAGCCCCCGGACAGGTTTTCCTGCTCATCCTGTTTAAACCCACACCCCATTATCCTTCCTTACATCCTCAAGGATCATCGGAAACATTCCCTGTTCTCCTCCCAACCTCCAGACTCCGAGACAACTGTGGGCAGTTGTTTTATTGTCCCAGCACCTCGTAACTCCTGGGAAGCCAAAATTAAAGCCAGGAGAGAACAGAAATCCCATTCTCCTCCGAAATGTGTGTGCCCAGAATGTCTTCTCCTAATGAGCCCCTTCCCTGCACCCACATCCCGCCCCTTTCTCGTTACTCAGGGAAAAGATGCCCAAGTTGAAAGAAAAGGAAAATAAAAAACTCTTCCCCACAAATTGCAGGTTTCCAGTGGTGTTCCAAGGCTCAGGAGACCTCAAGGATTTGAACCAGCTGAGGTTTGAGGGAGGAAATCAGAGCCTGGGGCTCTCATTGGGAGCAGATGCTCAAAACCTCCCGCAGATTTCTGCCCCTCCAGCTCAGCACTGGCTTCCCAGCAGGAGATCCTGGGAAGAGGTGGGGATAAATCTCTGAAATTTGCTGTCTCATCCCAAATTTAGCCCTCATATTTCCTACCCTGGAAGGGTGGCAAAATGGGGGGAGTGGTGAGGCACCGCCAGAGATTTGTGGCTGCCCCTGGATCCCTGGAAGTGTCCAAGGTCAGGTTGGACAGGGGCTTGGAGCAGCCTGGGATAATGGGAGGTGTCCCTGGCCATGGCAGGGGTGGCACTGGATGGGATTTGAGGTCCCTCCCAACCCAAACCCATCCTGGGATTCCCTGTCTCTTTGTGCTGCCTCTCCAAGCCTGGGCTGATCCTTCTGGAGAGCCTGGAAGAGCCACAGTGAAAACATCACCATTCCAGAAGGATAACACCACAATTCCAGAATGATAAAGGCTTCCCAGTGCTGGGATTCGAAATATAAGGAATTCTTAGAATTTTGAATTTGTAAGTCAAAGTTTAGAGTTAAACACGGGATTTGATTTAAGACTTTAGAAAAAGCTTTTAAATTTAGGTATTAAAAATGAAAATGTAGATTTATGTTTAAAGTAAAGACATTTACTTTACCTCAGCTAAATTAAACTAAACCTCAGCTAAACAAAGTAAAAGAAAGTTTAGAGTTTTAGAGTTTAAGATATAGAAAAAATAAAAGTAGTTATAAAAGTAAACAAAAATATTAGAGTATAGTATTATAAGTTTGTGTATTATAATATAATTAACTAAGAAAGTTTATACTGTAATATAAGTAAAAATATTTAAATATTAGGTTAAAAATAGAAATGTTTTTATTATTAGTGTTTTATTAATCAATAACTCCTTACAAAGTCTTATAATTAAAGGCCTTGTAATTTTTTTTTAAAAAGTCACATTTTTTAAAACTCAGAAGTCCCATCTCTAACTTACTCAAAACTCCCCACAAAAAAATTATCGCATCCCGGGATGGAAAGCCTGTCCTTGCAAGAGCTGCTCATCCTGCCTCCATCCCCTCTCCCGTATTTCTGCACATCCAGAGTTTCCCTCAAGAACCACCTCCAGGAGGCTTTTCCAGGAGCAGCCATGACTTACCCCAGCCAAATAATGTGAATCCCCAGAGATATTTCTTCTCTGAGAAAAATGCCATGAAGATGAGGCTGTGGAGATAGAGCCCTTCCACCAGGATCCAGTAGTAATTGGTAGCCAGGAAGTAGAGGAAGAAGGTGACAGCTACTTTACAGCCCACCTGCAGCGACCACAGAAGGACAGAGAAGGAGCACAGGGTGAGATTCTTGTGCAGTGCAAACACATTGAGGAGGGGTGGGGAACGAGGTGGAGAAAGGAACTAAATCAGAAAATTCTGTTTCAGGGTTTTTTTAATGAGGGGGAAAACCTGTGGAAGAGCAGGAAAGATGAACTGTTGGGAAAAAACTCCTGAGCCAAAGATGATTTTTCCTACAGCAGATGAGTTGGGAAGTAGAGAAAAAGATACGATAGCCTGATCCTGCTCTCTCCCAACCCAGGGATGAGGGGCTCACACACTCCCTGGAGCAGTTGGGATTCATCTTTCACTTATTTCATCTTTTCCTGTATTTCATCTTTTCCCTGTGTTTCATCTTTTCCCTGTGTTTCATCTTTTCCCTGTGTTTCATCTTTTCCCTGTGTTCTTTGTCCATGTTGGAGGCCAAAGGGCCTTGGCCAAGCTGTCCAGGTCTCTGGGTGTCCTGCTGAAGTCACAGCGCTTGGAATTACAACTCCTTCCTCAGCTCATGGAGAGACCAAGGTGGGATGGAGTCACCCCATTCCGTCATGGATGTCCACTGGACCCTCCAGGGTTGTTTGTCTGTCCTCAACAATTGAGAACCATTGCAGATGGCTCCAGCTGCCTTTGGAGCCAGGTGTTCCAAGGGCAAACAGGCCTGGAGGATTTTCCCTGGAAATCCCAAGGTGTCCCACCTGAGCTGCAAGATGGGAGATCTGAGAGAGACTTCCAGGACATTGTGAAGTTAAATGTGCTCCTAAGCTGAGTTGCTCCACACTGAGCTGAAATCCTTTAATTTTTTGGGAGCAAAACCCTGGCTGTGACCCAACACTCCCTTGGGACAGAGTGGGATGAAGCTACCTTTCTTTCCAATTTCTCAGAACCCTTTCCAAAGAAACCAATTTCCAAAGAAATCCTTTCCAAAGAACCAATTTCCAAAGAACCCTTTCTTCCCAATTTCTCAGCTCCAGTAGGGAAAGGCTGCAAAATATTGGTGCCACTTAGGGATTAATCAGTACAAAGCCAGCTCTTGTCAGTGTGGATATCCTTGGAGTCTGGGAAGTTGGATTTCCCAGGAATTCTGTGGCTGCCACATCCCTTGCTCCATCTTTGTGCTGTCCCTTCCTTTAAGAGGAATACAAAGGACTGACAGAAAATGTCAGTAATAATAATACCTTGGAAATAAAAAGCCAATTTTTTTTTATCCTGGCGCAGATCTTTTGCTAATTTTTTGTCCATCAATATATATATCTATACATATATTTGCATATTGATATGTTCACATTACGTTCTTTTTTTTTTAGAGAGAGAGGGAGTTAAAATAGATTAATTAAAAATCTCCCTAAATTAATAAATATTATTTGTATTTATAAAAAATCCCCATCTAGGTTTGATAATATTTTCTATATTTATTTTTTATATTTATTGCCTCATGCAGGGAATGTGAGGCACTAATTGCTAAGTTCCCATTTCATTTGAAAACAAATGAAATCCATTAATTGTCGCCTTCATCGCTTGTTTGCCTTGTAATTCCGAAGAGTGGGAAATACCATTAAATGTTAATATCCAAAGAATGCCATAGATTATTCTAGTTATTCCTTATAATGAGCCCAGCAAGAGGAGAAACACCAAACAATGCAGTGAAACATTTTGTGTTCTTTCCAGAAAAAAAAGAGTTTTGGAGCGTGTTGAGTGAGACTCTGTAAATTAATGACACGGATCTCCAGGATGGAAAAAGAACACAATGACAAAGTTCCAGTTGGGACACTCGGATGCACAGTGGGACATTCCCAAAACCTCTGATTTTTCACAGGGTGTTGCTGGTCCCTGGTTGTAGCACAAGCTGGGAAAGATTTGAGAAGCCAAGCAAATCCACAGGCAGGAAGTTGATCCCAGAATCCTTGAGGTTGGAAAAGACCTCCATGCCCATCGAGTCCAAGCTGTGCCTGATCCCCACCACAGCACCAAGTGCCACATCCAGGAATTCCTTGGATATCTCCAGGGGTGGGGACTCCGAACCTCCCTGGGCAGTTCCAAGGCCTGAGCACCCTTTCCATGGGGAAATTCCTGCTGGTGTCCACCCTGAGCTGCCCTGGCCCAGCTTGAGGCCGTTCCCTCTCCTCCTGTCCCTGTTCCCTGGGAGCAGAGCCCGACCCTCCAGCCGTCCCCTCCCTTCAGGGAACTGTGGGAAGTGAGAAGGTGAGAAGGATCTGGGCAGCACGCAGAGCCCAGATCCTTCGGGAATCCCATCTTTTTGGCAGCTTGGGAAGTGGGGCTTGTGTTCCCTGAGGTGGGGAGGTGGGATTTTCCCAAGGGATTTATGGTGGAGTTGGGTTCATCCCATACCCGGGAGTTTTGCAGCATTTTCATCCCAAAGGAGCCCAAAGAGCTTTACAACCCCCTGGGTTTCCATGGGAAATCCGGGATGGGACCAATGACAAGGAGAGCCGAGAGCTTCGGGATGTGGGAAATGTGAGGATGGGCTTCATCCCCCCCAAGCACATGGACAGTGCAGATATTGCCATCAGAGATTTCTATACAGTGAAATCCCCATGGAATTTTGGAGAAGAGTCCAACTGACCTCACTTCCATTTTTATTTTGGGATGCGGACTCGTCTGCCTGGGTTGACTGCATTGACTCAACCCACCCATAAATGGAGCCTGAGGTTCAGGGTGGACACCAGCAGGAATTTCCCTATGGAAAGGGTGCTCAGGCCTTGGAAGAAGCTTCCAGGGAGGTCTGGAGTCCCCATCCCTGGAGGTGTCCAAGGAATTCCTGGATGTGGCACTCAGTGCTCGCCTGGGTTGACTGCATTGACTCAACCCACCCATAAATGGAGCCTGAGGTTCAGGGTGGACACCAGCAGGAATTTCCCTATGGAAAGGGTGCTCAGGCCTTGGAAGAAGCTGCCAGGGAGGTCTGGAGTGCCCATCCCTGGAGGTGTCCAAGGAATTCCTGGATGAGGCACTCAGTGCTCTGGGCTGGGGACAAGGCTGGGATTGGGGACCCACCAGCAATTCCAAGATTGGACGACCTTGGAATTCTTTTTCAACTCAATGATTCTGTCCGAGGTCCCTCTCATAGACGCCACCTCCTTTTTGCAGATGAGCCCTACCATTTCCTATGACAGCACATCCTCTCCCCATTTTCCCTTCCAAAATGTCTTTTTTTCCATACGGGAGGGAGAAAAGTTGTGCATTCCCCATCCGTGGAAGTCTTGTGAGCCAAGCTGGATGTGCCTTGTGCTGGGATGGTCAGGAATGCTTCCACAGCCAGAAATTCCAGGGGGTATCAGGGGAATGTAGATGGGAGTCAAACCATCAACCTTTACTGCCATGGGAGCACCTTTTCCTTAGCTCAGGAATTGGGAATCCCTCTGAACCAATGGACTGAGAATGGGAAAGGACAGGAAGAGGCTTTGAAAGATGAGCAGCGTGGAAAATTCCCCAAAAGAATGTAAGTGTTGAACGGAGAGGACAAAGACACGAATCCTGGAAAACCACTGCTCTGGGAATACTCACAAACTGCGATTTATCCGCTGGAGGTGCTTCCGTGATGGATTTCAAGTCCTCCTCGGAGATCCGCTCCATCTCCTCCAGGGCTGACCCGGAGTACAGGACTGCGTCCTTCACGAAGATGCTGACGGCCCTCAGCATGAAGGACACAAACAGGTGCATGTGGATGTAGTTCCTAGTGCAGTGCAAACGTCTGGAAGAGGAGAAGAAGGATTGGGAAGTTTAGTCCGGCTGTTGGATGGAGCCAGGGCCACTTCTGGCTCTGGAGAGCCCCAGCTCCTCCCTCTGGCACCGTGCTCCCAAACTGACCTCACTTCCATTTTTATTTTGGGATGCGGACTCGTCTGCCTGGGTTGACTGCATTGACTCAACCCACCCATAAATGGAGCCTGAGGTTCAGGGTGGACACCAGCAGGAATTTCCCTATGGAAAGGGTGCTCAGGCCTTGGAAGAAGCTGCCAGGGAGGTCTGGAGTGCCCATCCCTGGAGGTGTCCAAGGAATTCCTGGATGAGGCACTCAGTGCTCTGGGCTGGGGACAAGGCTGGGATTGGGGACCCACCAGCAATTCCAAGATTGGACGACCTTGGAATTCTTTTTCAACTCAATGATTCTGTCCGAGGTCCCTCTCATAGACGCCACCTCCTTTTTGCAGATGAGCCCTACCATTTCCTATGACAGCACATCCTCCCCCCATTTTCCCTTCCAAAATGTCTTTTTTTCCATATGGGAGGGAGAAAAGTTGTGCATTCCCCATCCGTGGAAGTCTTGTGAGCCAAGCTGGATGTGCCTTGTGCTGGGATGGTCAGGAATGCTTCCACAGCCAGAAATTCCAGGGGGTATCAGGGGAATGTAGATGGGAGTCAAACCATCAACCTTTACTGCCATGGGAGCACCTTTTCCTTAGCTCAGGAATTGGGAATCCCTCTGAACCAATGGACTGAGAATGGGAAAGGACAGGAAGAGGCTTTGAAAGATGAGCAGCGTGGAAAATTCCCCAAAAGAATGTAAGTGTTGAACGGAGAGGACAAAGACACGAATCCTGGAAAACCACTGCTCTGGGAATACTCACAAACTGCGATTTATCCGCTGGAGGTGCTTCCGTGATGGATTTCAAGTCCTCCTCGGAGATCCGCTCCATCTCCTCCAGGGCTGACCCGGAGTACAGGACTGCGTCCTTCACGAAGATGCTGACGGCCCTCAGCATGAAGGACACAAACAGGTGCATGTGGATGTAGTTCCTAGTGCAGTGCAAACGTCTGGAAGAGGAGAAGAAGGATTGGGAAGTTTAGTCCGGCTGTTGGATGGAGCCAGGGCCACTTCTGGCTCTGGAGAGTCCCAGCTCCTCCCTCTGGCACCGTGCCCCCACGGGGAGCAGAGTGAGGGTCACCCATGGGGTTGGGAAATGGAATAATACCTTCTCCAGGGGCTTCGGGGAATCACGGAATGGTTTGGGATGCATGGGACTTCAAGGCCATCCAATCCCACCCCCTGCCATGGGCAGGAACACCTCCCACTATCCCAGGGTGCTCCAAGCCCCATCCAACCTGGCCTTGGGCACTTCCAGGGATGGGGCAGCCACAGCATCTCTGGGCACCCTGTGCCACCGCCTCCCAACCCTGCCAGCCAGGAATTCCTTCCTAAAATCTTCTCTAACCCTGCCCCCGGGCAGTGGGAACCCATTCCCACTCTCCTATCCACTCCTGCCCTTGGATTCCAGAGGCTCCAGAACTTGGGACCGCTGGAAACCTCTCAGAATTTCCTGTAAACCATTAATTATTTTCCCAGCTCAGTTTAGGAGCAACTCCAGCAGTAACTTGGGTGTGCTGGGCTGTTGTCCCTGATTTCCTGCTGTAAATGTCATCCTTTGGAGCAGTTTGTGGGCTCCATCCCAGCAATGGCAGCAGTGACCCCACAAATCCCAGTTGTAAAGCGCTTTAAGGTCCTTTTTGGAGGAAAAGCTTTTTTGGGAATGGTGAGATGTGAATGGGTCAGAACCAGGAAGAAGAGGTGTATTTTGGAATCAGGATTTTGGGAAAAAGGAACCAACATCTTGGGGTCCCCTCTGTCCTCTGGTGCCATGCCTGCATTTATGAATGGGTTTATATTCCTCTTAAATCCCAATAATCTGCACTAATTAAAGGCTGTGTTTTTATCCCTTTTGCAGGACATTATGATAACAACACCAGTTGTTCTCTGCGCTTTTATAATCCAAATTACTCCAAGTGGAACTGATGAGGTTTATTAAATGAGGATTGGCTTTGTCTCCTGCATTTGAAAGGGAGTCAATGAATCTCTGGATTATCGAGGATAAAATCTGGCTTGATCCCTGCTCTGATCCTTGGGATAAAGATGCTCCAGCACAGTTGCCCGGGTGGTCTGGGCTAGAAATGATGTGGGATAAAGATATGGATAAAGAAAAACCAGGAATTCTCTTGCACATGTGGACATGGAATATTTTAACAACCTTGCCAGTGTCCAGTGGGAAATGAAGTGGAGGGAAAAGGTCGGGAGAACAGGAGTGTGGTGGAGGGATGGGGTCTGCAGTGCCCTTTGGATTGGGTCTGTCATGGATTTGGGATTTGCTGTCCAAGCAAACCCCCCTGACACCTTTTACTGTCTGCTGAGAGCTCTGAGCACTTTCAGAGCCCAAAGCCACACATTTCATTCCCAGTGTTCCATGTGCAGGGCTCGGCTCAAGCTTCCCAAATCCCTCTGCAGACACCACGTGGCTGTTTTGGGTCCCACCAGCTCTTGTCCAGGTCTTGCTGGTTTTTTAGGAGAAGACACAAGCAGACACAGAAGGGAAGCAAATCTGGGGCTCAGGGTTTGGGGTCATCCTGCTCTATGGGGTCACCAGGTAGAACATTCCCAAAGGACAAATCCTTGGATATGTGTGACACCTTTCATCCCTCCCATCCCATGTTGTCTGTGTCAGCAAGAATCCCAGAATCTCAGAATGGTTTGGGCTGTAAGGGACCTTAAATATCATCCCATTCCAACCCTGACACCTTCCACTGTCCCAGGCTGCTCCAAGCCCTGTCCAGCCTGGCCTTGGACACTTTCAGGGATGGAAGCTGCAACACTGGATTGAGGAATGGGTAACGAGGGCTCAAAGTGGCATTTAGGGGTCTAAATCCCTTGGCAGGGATGGTGGGAAGAGAGGGGACACAATGGAGTCAGGAGGGTCATTTTTGGATCCCTGGGAAGAGCAGCAGTGTGGGGGGATTGGAGGAATCAGCCTGGGAGTTTTCCATCCCTTTCAACTGGTTTATCCTTCATGAACACTCGGACTTAGAGTGGGATTTCCCTCAAGGAATCTTATTTCTCTGCAAATCAGCCATCTAAAGCTAAGCCAGTCGCCTGCAGGGATAATAGGGACAGAAAATCCTGGAGAGTCTTCAAAGGAATTCCTGGAGACGCCCCGCTTCCCATTTGCTACAAAGAGGGCCTGGAAAACTCCACCTGAGGGAAGCGGAAGGAGTTCCAACATCCCACCCACCATCCCCCAGGAAGTTTGCCCTGGGATACCCTAACACAGCCCAAATCACAGATGCCACCACCACTGGTGGCTTCCTGAACTGCGCCACCCCAATTTTATCCTTCCGGAAAAACCCGCGGCTTTTCCGGCGTCGCTTAGGTAAAAACAGAGCCGCCTACCTGAAGTATCCCAGGATAAGGACAGCAACTGTGAGGGATCCCAGGGAGATGGAGTATCCAACAGTATAAATCAAATAGAGGCGATCAAAGACCTCCTGCAGCAGAAATGATGGAGAAAACAGCGTCACATGGGGAACGCGGCCCTACTGCACCACACAACCCTGGCAGCACGCAGAGCCCAGATCCTTCGGGAATCCCATCTTTTTGGCAGCTTGGGAAGTGGGGCTTGTGTTCCCTGAGGTGGGGAGGTGGGATTTTCCCAAGGGATTTATGGTGGAGTTGGGTTCATCCTATACCTGGGAGTTTCGCGGCATTTTCATCCCAAAGGAGCCCAAAGCGCTTTACAAACTCCTGGCCCAATTCAGCGGTCACTTGGGAATTTTCACCTGGACAAAATGCCTGCTGAGCTGGGAATTTGGCAAGGGATTAATGATGGAGTGGGGTTAATCCCATGCCTGGGAATTTCACAGCATTTTCACCCCAAAGGGACCCAAAGCACTTTACAAACTCTCGGCCCAGTCCAGGGATCACTTGGGAATTTTCACCTGGACAAAAATGCCTGCTGAGCTGGGAATTTGGCAAGGGATTAATGATGGAGTGGGGTTAATCCCATGCTTGAGAATTTCACAGCATTTTCACCCCAAAGGGACCCAAAGCACTTTATAAACTCTCGGCCCAGTCCAGGGATCTCTTGGGAATTTTCACCTGGACAAAAATGCCTGCTGAGCTGGGAATTTGGCAAGGGATTAATGATGGAGTGGGGTTAATCCCATGCTTGAGAATTTCACAGCATTTTCACCCCAAAGGGACCCAAAGCACTTTATAAACTCTCGGCCCAGTCCAGGGATCTCTTGGGAATTTTCACCTGGACAAAAATGCCTGCTGAGCTGGGAATTTGGCAAGGGATTAATGATGGAGTGGGGTTAATCCCATGCTTGAGAATTTCACAGCATTTTCACCCCAAAGGGACCCAAAGCACTTTATAAACTCTCGGCCCAGTCCAGGGATCTCTTGGGAATTTTCACCTGGACAAAAATGCCTGCTGAGCTGGGAATTTGGCAAGGGATTAATGATGGAGTGGGGTTAATCCCATGCTTGAGAATTTCACAGCATTTTCACCCCAAAGGGACCCAAAGCACTTTATAAACTCTCGGCCCAGTCCAGGGATCTCTTGGGAATTTTCACCTGGACAAAAATGCCTGCTGAGCTGGGAATTTGGCAAGGGATTAATGATGGAGTGGGGTTAATCCCATGCTTGAGAATTTCACAGCATTTTCACCCCAAAGGGACCCAAAGCACTTTATAAACTCTCGGCCCAGTCCAGGGATCTCTTGGGAATTTTCACCTGGACAAAAATGCCTGCTGAGCTGGGAATTTGGCAAGGGATTAATGATGGAGTGGGGTTAATCCCATGCTTGAGAATTTCACAGCATTTTCACCCCAAAGGGACCCAAAGCACTTTATAAACTCTCGGCCCAGTCCAGGGATCTCTTGGGAATTTTCACCTGGACAAAAATGCCTGCTGAGCTGGGAATTTGGCAAGGGATTAATGATGGAGTGGGGTTAATCCCATGCTTGAGAATTTCACAGCATTTTCACCCCAAAGGGACCCAAAGCACTTTATAAACTCTCGGCCCAGTCCAGGGATCTCTTGGGAATTTTCACCTGGACAAAAATGCCTGCTGAGCTGGGAATTTGGCAAGGGATTAATGATGGAGTGGGGTTAATCCCATGCTTGAGAATTTCACAGCATTTTCACCCCAAAGGGACCCAAAGCACTTTATAAACTCTCGGCCCAGTCCAGGGATCTCTTGGGAATTTTCACCTGGACAAAAATGCCTGCTGAGCTGGGAATTTGGCAAGGGATTAATGATGGAGTGGGGTTAATCCCATGCTTGAGAATTTCACAGCATTTTCACCCCAAAGGGACCCAAAGCACTTTATAAACTCTCGGCCCAGTCCAGGGATCTCTTGGGAATTTTCACCTGGACAAAAATGCCTGCTGAGCTGGGAATTTGGCAAGGGATTAATGATGGAGTGGGGTTAATCCCATGCTTGAGAATTTCACAGCATTTTCACCCCAAAGGGACCCAAAGCACTTTATAAACTCTCGGCCCAGTCCAGGGATCTCTTGGGAATTTTCACCTGGACAAAAATGCCTGCTGAGCTGGGAATTTGGCAAGGGATTAATGATGGAGTGGGGTTAATCCCATGCTTGAGAATTTCACAGCATTTTCACCCCAAAGGGACCCAAAGCACTTTATAAACTCTCGGCCCAGTCCAGGGATCTCTTGGGAATTTTCACCTGGACAAAAATGCCTGCTGAGCTGGGAATTTGGCAAGGGATTAATGATGGAGTGGGGTTAATCCCATGCTTGAGAATTTCACAGCATTTTCACCCCAAAGGGACCCAAAGCACTTTATAAACTCTCGGCCCAGTCCAGGGATCTCTTGGGAATTTTCACCTGGACAAAAATGCCTGCTGAGCTGGGAATTTGGCAAGGGATTAATGATGGAGTGGGGTTAATCCCATGCTTGAGAATTTCACAGCATTTTCACCCCAAAGGGACCCAAAGCACTTTATAAACTCTCGGCCCAGTCCAGGGATCTCTTGGGAATTTTCACCTGGACAAAAATGCCTGCTGAGCTGGGAATTTGGCAAGGGATTAATGATGGAGTGGGGTTAATCCCATGCTTGAGAATTTCACAGCATTTTCACCCCAAAGGGACCCAAAGCACTTTATAAACTCTCGGCCCAGTCCAGGGATCTCTTGGGAATTTTCACCTGGACAAAAATGCCTGCTGAGCTGGGAATTTGGCAAGGGATTAATGATGGAGTGGGGTTAATCCCATGCTTGAGAATTTCACAGCATTTTCACCCCAAAGGGACCCAAAGCACTTTATAAACTCTCGGCCCAGTCCAGGGATCTCTTGGGAATTTTCACCTGGACAAAAATGCCTGCTGAGCTGGGAATTTGGCAAGGGATTAATGATGGAGTGGGGTTAATCCCATGCTTGAGAATTTCACAGCATTTTCACCCCAAAGGGACCCAAAGCACTTTATAAACTCTCGGCCCAGTCCAGGGATCTCTTGGGAATTTTCACCTGGACAAAAATGCCTGCTGAGCTGGGAATTTGGCAAGGGATTAATGATGGAGTGGGGTTAATCCCATGCTTGAGAATTTCACAGCATTTTCACCCCAAAGGGACCCAAAGCACTTTATAAACTCTCGGCCCAGTCCAGGGATCTCTTGGGAATTTTCACCTGGACAAAAATGCCTGCTGAGCTGGGAATTTGGCAAGGGATTAATGATGGAGTGGGGTTAATCCCATGCTTGAGAATTTCACAGCATTTTCACCCCAAAGGGACCCAAAGCACTTTATAAACTCTCGGCCCAGTCCAGGGATCTCTTGGGAATTTTCACCTGGACAAAAATGCCTGCTGAGCTGGGAATTTGGCAAGGGATTAATGATGGAGTGGGGTTAATCCCATGCTTGAGAATTTCACAGCATTTTCACCCCAAAGGGACCCAAAGCACTTTATAAACTCTCGGCCCAGTCCAGGGATCTCTTGGGAATTTTCACCTGGACAAAAATGCCTGCTGAGCTGGGAATTTGGCAAGGGATTAATGATGGAGTGGGGTTAATCCCATGCTTGAGAATTTCACAGCATTTTCACCCCAAAGGGACCCAAAGCACTTTATAAACTCTCGGCCCAGTCCAGGGATCTCTTGGGAATTTTCACCTGGACAAAAATGCCTGCTGAGCTGGGAATTTGGCAAGGGATTAATGATGGAGTGGGGTTAATCCCATGCTTGAGAATTTCACAGCATTTTCACCCCAAAGGGACCCAAAGCACTTTATAAACTCTCGGCCCAGTCCAGGGATCTCTTGGGAATTTTCACCTGGACAAAAATGCCTGCTGAGCTGGGAATTTGGCAAGGGATTAATGATGGAGTGGGGTTAATCCCATGCTTGAGAATTTCACAGCATTTTCACCCCAAAGGGACCCAAAGCACTTTATAAACTCTCGGCCCAGTCCAGGGATCACTTGGGAATTTTCACCTGGACAAAAATGCCTGCTGAGCTGGGAATTTTGCTGGAATTGCACAATTTAGCTGTTGCTGGATGACTGATGTCCAGCCTGGGGGAGCATAACCCACACCAGAAAACACAGGAAGGAAATACTTTGGCTATGGGATATGAGGAAAAAAAATCACCTGCGTTTATTTTTCCCTTTTTTAAATCCCAAGCAACCTCTGCCTGTGGTTATCCAATCCAGACACAACCTGAGCTTGCCAAAATCCCATTGGAAAAGGCTCTGTCACAGAAGAGTTCTTAATAATTAATAGTTTAGCAAGTTTTAGGTTGTTATTTTCCAAAACTGGCTTTGAAACCCTGAGGTTTCCATTAAATATTTTCCTTGATATTTTCCTTGATCCTGCAGCTGAACTCAGGGATTCCTGGAAAGGGTTAAAATGCCTGCCCCCCATCCCAGCCTGTCCTGCCTTTCCCAGACTGATTTTAGCAAAAAATCCCAAAAAAACCCAATCAATTCAGCATCTTTCTCCTCATTCCCTCCTTTCCCTCGCCCTGCCCACGGGACTGCAATAACGTCAGGAATGCTGGGCTCTGAATGACAGCTCTGATTGGGATTTGAGGCTTGGAACGCTGTCCTGGAATGCCAAACCTCAGCCCTATTACATCAGAATCCGCAGATTTGGGAATGTTTCTCTGCGGTTTGCACTGGAGGAGCGAAGCCCTTGCCAATATTAATTTACTGAGTGTGTCTGTGCGTATTTATGGGATATTTTTATAGATTTTTATAGATCTGTCTGTGCAGGCAGCAGGCCCTGGAAAGCCAAGAAGAAGAGATTTCAAAGCTTTCAGGGAAAAATATCCTGGTGTGATTTTCCTGCTGCCAAGCTGGAATACTCCTGGAGCTGGAAGACGTTTGCATCCATAGTAAAAAATGAAATAATAATAATAATTAATAATAATAGTAATAATAATCTCACTCCAAGGTTAGAATTTTCAGTAAAAAAAAAGTTGTGAGGCCTTAACAAAACAACCCTGAGTCCCATTCAGAAATTTCACTGTGAAGATCCACGTTCCTATGGGCGGGAATGTCCTTGGGAAGAGCCTCTGGATTGGCAGGAGGTTTTGGAAAGTTGAGTGCTCTGATTGACCACAGGGCCTCTCTTTGAAAGGAGGTTGAGCACCAAGAGCCAAGACACAGAAAGTTTATCCTGGAGCCCTCCTTGGAGGTGCCCCAGATCCTACCTGGAGTCATTCTGGAAAGCCCCTGGGAAAA